CTCAATTACTATTTTGTCAAGCGGCGAGAGGATGGAGCAATGTGGACCTCGTTCTTAACACCAAAAAAATGAGGCGATTTTAGGAGCTCGAGTTAAGCAGGCGAGGGGCACGAAGATTGTTAGATTTGCTGTAGATGAATGGGAGGTTACAGACAAACATGGTCACAATTACACCGTTAACTTGGGAGGTGCACATTGCACATGCACCTGTAACATACCAGAATTGCAAAAATTGCCTTGTTCACATGTTATAGCGGTTACGTCCAAGCAATCGGGGGGTGCAAATATTTCATATTACACATACGCTTCTGAGTGATATCAATCAAGCAACTATAGAGAGGCATATAAACAGTGTTTCCACCCCGTACATGATAGTCGTTATTGGCCACACTATAACGGGCCGCATGTGGTGCCTCCAAGCTATAAGAGACAAGCCGGACGCCCGCGATCAGTACGCTTAAAAGGTACGATGGATGAAGGCCGGGAAGGAGCCCCAAAAAAAATAGATGTGGTTATTGCAGACAAGCCGGGCATAGAAGATCTCATTGCCCGACCAATCCAAATAGATAGCAATTAATGGGTACAATTTTATACATTTGCAATTTTATTCTAACTCATTTATAGATTAATGGATCATCATTATATGTCAGGATATTGTAATTTTATACATGTGTCAATCCAAATAGATAGCAATTAATGGGTACAATTTTATACATTTGTAATTTCATTCTAACTCATTTATAGATCAATGCTTATAAAAAACTCAAACAATGCTTATAAATCAATGCTTATAGTAAAATCATTTTTTTTTCTAACTCAATTATAGATCAATTAATGTATCATCGTTATATGTGCAGATATTTCAGTTATGGAGGCGGGTCCATTGACACATGATGTTCTTTATGACCAAGAGCGCCACCGATCCGCGAAGATAGACGCTAGGGAGGTAAAGTGAAGTTTTATTATTTTTAATTATATATAAATTTCAATGTAGTTGATTGTTACTGAACATTTGCACTGCTTACTACATGCAGGCCCCGAGTATTACTGTTGTCGATCATACCCGTGCACACTCTAGCTGGGAGTTGACGGATCCACAGATACAGTATTATGTGCGTCAAGCCGGCTTTTTTGAGTGTTCACAACTTAAATGAGTAAGACTTGATTGGGCACTTTTAACGGCATTGGTTGAACGATGGAGGCCCGAGACAAATACTTTCCACCTGCGCCAAGGAAAGGCGACGATTACCTTGCAGGATGTTGGGGTTATACTTGGCCTCAGAGTAGATGGTGATGCAGTGACGGGCACCGATGACTTCCACTATGGCACTACGTGTGAAGAATTGTTGGGTCACTGTCCTACAATGAAGGGGGGAAAGATCAAACTCGAATGGTTAAGGAATAACTTTATGAATGTACCGGTCGATGCGACTGATGAGATCATTAAGAGCTATGCCCGTGCATATATTTTACATATGATCGGTACTATTATGTTTCCGGATTCCACTAAGGATTCCGTGCACGTGAGATGGTTACCGCTTCTTAGGGACCTATCGGAGTGTGGAGAGTTATCTTGGGGGAGTGCAGTGTTAGCCTACTTGTATAGGGAGATGACGAAAATAGCACTTGTACAAAACAAAGAATTGAAGGGCTGCCTCACTTTGCTGCAGATATGTTCATGGGAGCGATTGCATTTGGGAACACCTAATTTAAGGGAGGCTCGCGCTCTCAATGGCCATATTACTTTAGGCTGCAGGTATTATTAAGATGCATGTAACTTTAGTGCTTTATTTCAATAGTTACTAACCCGTTGTATATAAAATAGATGGAATGTGTCCAGATCCTGGCAAACCTCTCCAAAGGGGCATGAAAACTTTTACTGAAATGAGCTTGATCAGATGGAGGATGAGCAGGTATAAAAATTATAATATCTAAATATATTCAATTATGCGACCAATTGTTACCGATATCTAAATATATTCAATCAATATATCATAATATCTTATATCATAATATCTTCTTTATAGGTCAAATGGATGCCCTACGAGCTAGTGTTGAAGTCACTACCAGATATTTGCCGGGAAGGTGAGGATGTATGGCGTGCTCACATCCCACTTATATGCTTTGAGATTGTCGAAATGCACGTGCCTGACCGTGTGCTTCGACAATTTGGACTACGGTAACATATTCCAAGGCCTGTGGAGAGAATAGAGAGAAATCCAAGAAAAGGTGCACATCATGCTAATTAGGAAATAATTCGCCAAGCGTACATCCAGAGGTGGGATTTAAGGGAGGAACAGGTAATGATGGAGAGGGTTGATGCACCTGACCTAGGTGTGTACCTGCGGTAGTATTGGGGGATTACTCACCGGTGGATATTTTAGGAAAACAAAGCCCCGAAGGAGTACATACCAAGAGGCCCAGTCGAGGGAGAGTTGGTAAGTGTATAAGAAAAATATACAATTATTTTCTAAGTTTTATTTTCTCATCATCCACTTGATAATAATTTTCTTTCGGTTTTTATTTTATAGGTACAAGAGCTCGAAGAGCTTTCTACTATGGCACATGACGCATTGCGCACGACTACCGAGTAGGAGCCGAGGAACACGTTCCTTCGAATGATAAAAAAGATACGGTCGGCTCTTCAGAGGACGCGTAATGCAAGCCGCGATGGACGGGAGGAGCGACCAATTGAGTACAGGCGGCGATGTTGATGAGGACACACGGGGGTGGGATCAAGCCGTGCGCATGATGAAGCTGGCGGATCACAGCAGGCTCGGGCGGGATGTTCACAGGTGGTTCGAGTCGACGCGGATGTCATGCGCTCCCAACTTCACACAGAACCGGACGAGGAACTTATCCGAGCTCACATCGAAGGTGAACAGGGAAGAGGGAGAGGAAGAAGAGGGAGAGGGAGAGGGAGAGGGAGAGGGAGGGGAAAGGGCGTTCTTGATATTTGTTAAGTTTCGATGGACTTGATAGGATGTTTGTGTTTGAGTTGCAATTTGGACTTGATATGTTGTTTGTGTTGCGATGGATTTGATATAATGTTAAGTTTGCGAATATAAATTGTACGTATGATATTTGTGTTTGTGATTGCATTGTGGATTGATAACAGGAGTATGATTGCATTTTAGCATGTGTTATTTGTGATTACATTTTGTACTACAGGAAGTATGAGTTTCCAGGTGAATGTGGGCTGGAAGTATGAGTTTGCTGGTGAATGTGGGTTGGAAGGTCTGTAAAATGGTCGGGGTTGGGAACCCCGACCATTTTGTGCAGCTATACTGGCAGTGGGTTTGGGCTCTGCTTAATGGTCGGGGTTGGGAACCCCGACCATTTTGTGCAACCATATTGGCCCTTGGCTTGGCCTCTGCTTAATGGTCGGGGTTGGGACCCCGACCAATTCGAAATGAGCTTCGAATTGGTCGGGGTTCCCAACCCCGACGAATTCGTCCCTGACCAAACCCAGCGCTGGCTGGGCTCTGCTAAATGGTCAGGGTTGGGAACCCCGACCAATTCGAAATAGGTCTCTTACGAATTGGTCGGGGTTCCCAACCCCGACCATTTAGGGCGGATGGACTAAACAGTCGGGGTTGGCAACCCCGACTGTTTACGAAGCCGATTAAAAATTAATCGACTCGCTTTCTCGCCACGGCGCTGACGTGACGAGAAAACGGGTCGATTTCACTAAATAAAACTAGATAGGGTCGAATTCGGTAATTAAAATTTGAATCGGGTCTACAGTGTAAATTTCCTCATAAAGGTTTTGTTGTTTACTGAAAAAGATGAAAGCCCTAAGATGCCAGATAAGACTGACTTTTGTAATAGGGTTTTTATTTAAAATAGTACTCCCTTACATTTTTCTTATCTGAAACTACTCTCAAATCACACCAATTGCTATTAGGTCCTCCTACTTTTAAGTTATTCTGAAATCCGTCAGTCATATGATTGAAATTGCTATAATGCCCTATCTTATTTCAAGTTAATTCTTCCCATCAAGAGAAAAAATAACAGTTGGAGGGATTAATTTGGAACAACTTATGATAATTTGGGGACCTTAGGGGACATAATAGCCATTTCAATGAATTTTGAGTCTAATTTAAAATAACTCAAGAGAATTAGGGGACCTATTAGCCATTGTCAAACTCAACCTTCTTGCCTCCCTCCTCCTCCTTAGCGTACAAGATCATGTTATGGAACGATATGACACAAATTTATGCTAAATTTCTGGTATGTATTGTACTTGACAACGAAACCATGTTATGGTAGGATATCATGACAGATATATGCTACATTTCCCAAGTAGTTCATCGTCAGAGTTTGCATTCAAACGTCTTGAGTTGTTCATTGTCACAGATTTATACCTGCATATGTACACTCAGCAGCTGTAAATTTGGTCGCAACTATATTTTCTTCACGAGTACCGTACAAAATGCACCATCCTGAGTAAAAACAATTTACAATCAAGTTGGCTACAGGTCCCATTTTCAAGAAAAGAAACACTAGAGGCACATCCTTGGACACAATCCCAACCACACCCCCTCACCTGCTATAGTGCAGGGGCCTCACATGGGATTTTTTTTAAAAATCCCATATGGGGGCCCCCTGCACTGTAGCAGGTGAGGGGGTGTGGTTGGGATTGTGTCCAATGGTGTGCCTCTAGTGCCACTCTTTCAAGAAAAAGCCCCATTCTTAAGGGTTGTCGTTAAACAAAGAACCGGTATTACACAATTGCAAATTCATTTTGTAAAATGGACCACAAAATATTTCATACAGAACAAATTGTGGATGTCTTAAAGTGAATCATTGCACCGGCTCTACTGGATTTCTCTCCACAGATATCATATGCAAGAAGGAAACCTTAATAGCATCGCTGGAACTTGAACAGAAAATTTACAAGAGGATGGTGAATGGCGAAGGAAAATGTATGTTACCAAGTAGGTGGCTTATGGAATGAAGGAAAATCTCACAAAACATCTCAGACGAAGTGAAAGATCAAGTCCGAAACAACAGTTTATATAGACAGAAATGAACATATATGTAAACAATGACTAGAAAGAATAAGGAGGAAGAGCTTCCATGTGCGCATGTAATAATAGAAGCAATAGAACTTCAGAACTGACATTAACTGAGCTGTAGATAGACAGTATTTGCAATGATGACAAAATCAGTACGATAAAAGACAAGTTCAAGCGAAAAATCAGATAATTAACTGCTCAACGAACACGGCGAACTCTCTCTTCCTGTCCTAAACCAAGAGATTTCTGCGCATCGGCGATTCCTTCTGGATCTGCATTGAAGAGAACATCAAACTGCTTGTTAATATGTAATCAAATCATGGAAAAAGTTCCTTGATTGAACTTAACATTTTGAAGGTTGAAATATCGCACATCCACATTTCAGCTTATTGCACAGGCATCTATTATAACAAAACTACTGGTAATTTTCTTCCTCGAAACATATAGGGAAGACAGAGAGGCACAATATGTCTCATCTCCTTGCAATGATTTTAAATATGATAACTTACCTAACAACATTGTTAAGTGTGAAAAACTGCTTATTCCTATGGAAACATTGCAGGTATTGATCAAGGTTATCGATAGCGGATAACGTCGCGTAGCGGTGAGGCATCGCTAAGGCTATTTCGGGCTATTGCGGTAAAATAACGGTAAAAAGCGCAAAGTCAAATAGAAAATCTAAGAAATCTAAAAGTACATATTGGATGATTTAAAGAGATCCTAAATATGAAATAGACATGTACCCATCACGTAATACCGAAGATGACTGGAGGAGTCAAAAAATCGTCGTCTTCGAGAAGAAGAGCTTAGCAGTGAAATGACTGCTCTAAGAGGAGCTCACGGTGAAGGAGGTGAGAGGAAATATCAAGGTAGGTGTCAGAGGCTATGAAAGGTGGCGGGAGTATGCTGAAAATCATAGGAGACGGTGGAATGCAATGGTCAAGGGTTGAGTTTAATTTAAAAAAAAATAAGCCTCAAACAGCTTTTAAATAGCAGTCAAAAAACAAATTTCGAATGCAATCGCTCACTATTTACCGTTACGACACACTATTGGCCGCTTTTGTGAACAGACATATTCTGCAATATGTCACCGCTATTGCGCGATAGCGTAGCGCACGATAGCGTCGTGAGAAGGGACCGCTAACATTATTAGCGCCGCTATTACGGGGCTATTTACCGCTATTTATAACAGTGGAATTGATTAGCTTTTGTGAGCCTAAATAAGAGTTGTGACTGAGAGGATCACTTTAGGAGGTCCCCCACTATTGATGTTACTAATTATTGTACAATCTCTCCCCTTCCAATACAAAGGTTTGGATGAGGTTTTGTATTTTATAATACATCCGAATTCAGTGGGGTTTCACAGCTAGGAATATACCCAGTTCAATTGAATTGCTTGTCAACCCCACTATATGGTATGAAAAGTAGCCTATTGCAATGTATGTAAACTTTATTTTTGGAGAAACACCAAACAAACAAAAGGCCAAATATTCTGGCCGGCATTCATCACTATAAGGAGAAGCCAAAAAGTGAGTTTTGATCTAGGTTACCCAGACACTTCACCTAGGCTCCGATATATGTCCAATACTTCCTGTATCCATGTTCGAAACTCCTTGAAAACTTCTTGAATATATACATACATATATTTAGACGCGTACTCAATTATAAAACACGTGTTAGTTTAAAAACTTGTGATACACTTCTTGGACGTTCACCTCAAATTTATGCAAGTCATTGGACTCGGGATGGGTTTGTTTCAGCATAAACCTAGTTCCTACGTATGATTTTAAATGGTCATTTGAGTATCTAGTTAAAACACGAACGCGTTTTCAATTTATAATCTACTCAACAAAAGAAACGTATAAATGGTATAGCGATTTTAGTTCTCATAACACGTGAATGAAAAAAATATGAATCTCATATAGATTATTAATTTTAAGATGTATGTAAATAGCCATGTCCTAGTATCCTGCCTTTTACAAAATTGTTGTGTGCCATATCTGCACCAGTGTCCGTGTCCGTGTCTGCACCTACACCCATATCCGTGCAACATAGGTTTTGAACACCCCCATATCTGTGCAACATAGGTTTTGACTGATCTAATATTTTGATTCTTGTGATTTCATGACAGATCGCAAGGAAGTTTCATTCTATTCAGCCAGAAGAAGGCATAGTGAAAGCAAAACAATTAAACTTCACATTCCGGCAGTAAATTCACTTTTTGCAGAAAGACTCAAATCAATATATAGACTAAATCTGTGCATAGGAACTAACAAAAGAATGAACAAGCATGCAGTAAACGTAAAAAGTTTTTTTAAGTATAGAATCAAGACACCAAACAAAGAAAAACAGAAGACGAATGGAAAATATCTGTATTTCACATGTTACCAATTCCTTGGTCTATACACAATCTTTTTCAAGTAGAACTCAGTAGTCTTCACCAAAGAACATGCTCACAAACCTAGAAAGCATGGCCTACAGCAACTAAAATGTCACTTTAGCCATTACAGGTACAAGATTATTAAGGACAGTGGTATATAGGAAAGATAGTCATTGGTGGGTTTAAGAACAGAATCATAGTTGTGGATGGTATATTCCTCACAAACTATTCATTAACTAGGCAAATGCCTAAGTAAGGAGTGTTACAACAAAGATGCATTTCAATAGTACGAATAAGGAAAACAAAAATAGTACATTTCAGATTTAGGTACAGCCCATATTTAAAGAATATATCACTTGATCCAAACATGTAATTTTACATAATATAATGTCAATGTTGGAAGCGGGAACAAAAAAGAAATTCATAACTCATAATATCGCCCTATGTAACACAATGAGCCTTAAATGTTTACATAATGTTTTAAGTAACGCAGTCACGTCGTGATTGTACGTTATTACAATATATAGCATAAACTATTTAAATATTAAATATATTATTTCAATTTAACAAGCATTATTTCAATATAACATACACTATTTCACTATAACTCACAGTAGAGACTTATTTTACTTGTTTGCTTCATTTAGATTGTTTGATCATTTTTTATTGCCGTAATTTGTTGACATCATTATGCTTGTGACTGAACTTATTGTTTTACACTTGTTATAGTGAACTAATGTTTTAAAGTAATGCAGTTAAAGAAGACCTAACAGCAATTTCAATGATTTTTTTTTTTTTTTTTGTCAAAATATGAATGATTTTAGGTATTAATATCAAAATAACCCAAGAATTATGCAATTAGTAGATGATTGTGCTAAACAACTAGATTACCATACACTCATACACATGATAGATGCAATTTGGTCTAAACCAAATACAAGCAAGGATAATATCCAAGAGATATGATGCAAGAAATTCCAAACCAAATACATAATGAATTCATATAGGTCTTCACCACTCCACTATATGTGCAACTGGGTAAGGAAGGAGGAAACCAGGAAAGAAAAAAATAATTCGCAAGAACACATCCTGATTTGCATGACTATAGACCAACATCAACCATATTAGTGTGGCACTCTCATACCGGCATAAATATATCTTTTCTAATATACAATAAATATATACCAACGAGGCAATTTAGAATAACACTCTAATATTTATAATCTTAAAAAATTTCATATCATAGAGTTCAGAGGTACTCTTACATCTTAATAACAAAGGGCAACAAAAGATAGTTATATAACATCTAATCATAAATTTCTAAAAGATGAAACAGCAATGTAAATGATTCATTAGATAAATGATATTACTTAGCAACACCCAATACGACAATCTGGATATTATGGTAACAATGGAAAAGTCAAACACCAAGTATAGTCTAACAGTTTAGTTGCATTGCCATTACCAAAGAACTGTGTGAAAATTCGTGTGAAGAAGCTGATGTTGCGTGAGACATTGTAGCCAATTGCAGGAGGAAGAGGTTTGACAAGGGTGTCAACACTAAAAACTCGTTGAAGAAACTGCAAGCATGAGAAATCATCCAGTTAGACAACTAACAACTAACAACCATGAAGAAAGACTGCCACAAACTACACCACTGAAAGAAATGGTTGCAAAAAAATATCAGCAGAAGAATACATATAAGAGATACAAATCCTTATAACTTACAGAATTCTTTTGGAAGGAAAGAATTATCCAACAGAGATACAACACAATATCAATGTTATGTAAATTTATTTTGTGAACAAAATTATTAAATAATGTAATAGGTTGAAGGACAAGTAAAAATTACATGTATTGAAACATACATAAATTTATTTCAAGAGAAAAACATTCTGAATACGTTTTAATGCCACTGTAACTTGACCTTTCATTAAAAAATAAGCCTATATGTTCATTGTAAGATTATGGAACTTTTCTCTAATAAAAAGTTTATCGTAGTGCTGTGCAAAATCCTCCAAAGTTCATGATAGTTTTGTGATTTTTTTTACCCATTAAGAGGTTAATTATGAAGAGGACATATTCTAGAAGGCAAATGGTAGAGGAGCGTCTAAGAAGTGTATTGTCCTACGTGGGCATGGTTCTGTGAATTAAGTGCCCTTGCTGCACAGTACGCAACAACTAATCAAAATGCATAATTCATAACTCACCTTCATTAATTACCAAAGGTGTCTATTTATCCAACTGAGGCAGTGAGGCTATTGTTCAGTTAGCCATTTAAAACGTTCCTACACTATAATATGTTGTACTCTGTTTCCGATACTAATTAATACAAGACCACGACCAAATATATGCAGACCAAAATATGTATCTTCAGAAATATTTGTGTATCCACATAGATAGCATATTTTCATATATGCAGGAACAACTTCAACAAGTGTTAGGCTACAAAAGGGTCAGCAAAGTCAGTCACCCAGACAACAGCAAAGACATGGCTAAGTTTTTTAACATTGTAGATGTTGTTCTGGTATTCTTAATGCTCACCAACCTCCTTGCTTTCCGTGAAGTAAGTAGCAAAGTGGTTTCTCCCTCGTTCATTCAGAAATGAAATTCACGGGGGGAAAAAGAACCATACTTCAGTTACCACGTCCTACAGAGCCAGCGCTTTGTTGGTGTTGCCAGTCTACTCAGTAAGTGCTTCCTCTATGGGGACGTCGACAAGGAAACTAGTGAAAAAAAGTGTCCCATTTAGGCCTACTGTCGTACATCCAGATAAATAAGTTGGATTCTAGCCTTCAATATCACATGTATCTCTTGTGTTCATGAGGTTATCATCTATGAAATGAAATAAATCAAAATTTTGATTAATACGTTGCAAAATACTTTGGTATTTGCTTAATCAGTGTGACATCTCAATCAGACGATGTCAAGCAAATACTTTGGTATTTGCTACAAGGATTTAACGTTCTAGTTGTAGAATGCACATTAACTAATAAATGAAACAACCATTACACATATTTGTGGGTCTCTCACAGAAATACTTCATAATTTTAATAAAAATCAGTTAAATCTCTAGAAGATTGATATCAGAAATAGCATGAACAAGGCCAAATCAGTAAAAATAATCAAATCATTCGCTGTAACAAGATGAAATATTAGAGTGCTAACATCCAATCCACAGCCTTAGTAACCAAGGCCCACTCCTTGGTTTTCATCTGACAACACAAAACCGAACCCACATCAAATTATAGTCTAGTACCCCCAAACCCAATTCACGGGCATCAATGAAAACTGCAACTAATAAAAAAAATGAGGATTAAAAAGAAAAATCACCGCAAAGTTCCTCTGAAAGCTGTATCGGAGCTCAGGATCGATCTCGACGGCCGAATCGCCGTCGTCGGCGTTGGATTTAACGGAGCGTTTCTTGGGGACGTGCATCACCGGCGTTGAACCGGGGTTGTTGGTGACTTTTAGCTTTCCGTCCTCGAAACTTTTGGAATTTGCATCGTCGCCCCTCCACGGCGCTGAGGCCAATAAGTCCTTTTTCTTCATCGTTTTTGCTTCGTTTATGGGAGAGAGACTGGGGAAAGGATAGAGTTTATAAAAGAGAAAAGGATTCTTTCATATTTTAGGGCCCTAAAACCTTTAACGTTTTTAAAATTACTCCCTCGACTAACTAAATTTATATTAGGTCCCCCATATGTTACATTTTGCACTGCTGTCCTTGACTGGGGAGATTAATTTCACACAAACTCACAAGAATTGGAACTAGTTAAGGAAAAAATTGCCGAACCATATAGCCATTTCAACAATTTGAAATACTTATGTACTGATTTCACAATATTAAGGCTAATATGAAAAAAAATCACGAGAAAACTTAACTGTTTATGATTTTCTAGGGCTAAATTAAAAACCCTTGAACTTTAGGGTGATTTGTGGATAGAGATCTTAAACTCAAAAGCTAGACGAACCCCAAATATTTATGGCTAAAAAACACATAGATACCCTATTATTTTACTCACTTTGCACTTATATACCTGATGATGCTAAATGACCACATAGTCAATTATATCTGTGGTAGGATAGGGGTGACCCGGGTAAGGTTGATAAGGAGCCGCTTCCTTCCCCGATTATTTTGTTCTGAGTTGGGTTGCTGAAAAGTCTGCACATGTAGAAACACATGAGAAGACGGGGACTGGTCCCCCGTGTTTCCTCCGACGATCAAATCAGCTGGTGAGCTTGAGTGAGAAAAGTAAAAAACTTTTGAGAGTTCTTGTGTGTGCAGTATGATTTGTAGAAGACACTGATTTTACAGAAAAAACCAGAATCAGATCAGAATCCCAATCCCCCTGATGAAGAGATAGTATCTTGTATTTATAGTGGTGCTGCAAGGGCAGAACCATCATTGTGGCCGAGCATAGGATGGTGGTGAAGAAGCATGGACTGGCGGTTGAGTCAGCATGTCTTTTACAGGTGTCGGCTAGCGACTGGAGGAGAGATCACTCGGTATTAAATGGGAAGTGATCGAAGGCATGGCGGTGCTGACGTGGTCCGATGAGTCATGAAGACTATCGGGGCTAGAGGTATGATGGCGCTTGCCAAGCCTTGAATGTGATGTTGACACATTGTCAATGGGAGAGGCTCGAGGCTGAAGTTGTCCTCTAGCTTCACCGAGAAGTAATGCCTTTTGAGGCGTCCTTGTGAGGTGTCGAGTAGTTGGTCGAGTGGGCTTGTTGCGAGTCGTCTTCGATAAAAAGGGCGATAAGTACCGCCTTTAGAGTATGCATGAAGGAATGTTGACTCGGCGAGTCGGCTGAGTTGTCATCTTTGCTGGTCTTCGGCCGCCAACTTGATTAGGGCATTGCATGCAGATGTACACCCATCTGTTGCTAGCAAAGGGTCGTACATAGGTGATTGAAAACACCATAACAGTTGGGCCCTTTCATTTGGAGTCGGCTTTAGTCAGGTTTGAGTGAAATAAAAATTACTTTGGATGGACGTGGGTGCTTTAAATGCGAGAACTGAAAAGTCCCTTTAAATTGATGTGGCTAACGTCACTACACGTTCTTTTTTCATTGTCGCAGCTCCACATTTCTTGGGAGATTGCGCGCTACTCAAGGTGAGTAGGCAGCGCCTCAATCCGCAAGACGACGCTTCAAATTCTAAAAATTAATCTTAGCTGTTGGCCGGAATGTGATCCGACGGCTCTGATCCTGGATATATATGGAACCAAAGCTAGAGAGATGGTGGTTACTGCCTTTTCAAATTCCCTTCAGAGAACTAATTTTTTTCCACTCATCTTTTTCGGCAATCATATCTGCAATCTCAAATAGCATCTGAGCATGTGGATCGTCGAGCTCTCTTGGCAGGGATCCACTCCAAAGTGACACAGTCCCAGTGAGGACACTCTTTAGGAGGTTTGACATCCCCAAGGAGTATGATTTGATAGCTCCGACGAGGTCAAAGACTATCTTTGATCATGGGTTGGAACGGGGCCCGCTATATCTGAGGCACTTGGAATGTGGTCTACGGCTTCCCTTGGATCCCTTCCTCCAGCAAGTATACATGGCGTTAAGGGTGTCGCCAGCACAGATGAAGCTGAACGTCATCACCATCTTGGTGGGGTTCATGGTGATCTGCCACTGGTTGGCAATCAAGCCATCCTTGCGGGTCCTGGGCCGGTTGGTGGCTGTAAAGGTGAGTCAGACTGAGCCCCATTTCCACTTTCAAATGGTGGGGAAGTTTAGGCTCATCACCGACCTTCCAGACTCACACAAAGACTGGAAGGAGAAGTTCATCTGGGTCGTAGGGGACGCCCTAGAGTTGACCTGCTCAAACTAGCCCGAAATAAGGAGGGAGACACTCATGGAGGGTGACTTGCTTGTGGTCGAGAGGGATGAGCTTGACCAGATCAAGGCATATGCTGGCTCTCGTCGACTCGATCATCTGTTGGATAGCTCGGTCTTACGGGTTGCCGGTATATCAGTTGTGCCTCCTTCTGACCAGGATCATCAAAGGGCTTCAGCCCTTGTTGTGGGGACAATAAGAGCAGTGACGACGCCTACTGTTTCTTTGCCTGCTCCCCAGGAGGGGTCGTCTGCTAGGCCTATGAAGCATCCTGCCTCCAGTAGAGGCCGAGATGGCCGTGGAGGAGCCTACTCCCTCCCTCGTCTGTAGACAGAGGTGGAGGGATGTGGAATAGGTACTTCAAGTAGCGGCCGAGATGGTCGAGATCGACCTCATTCGCCTAGATGAGCCAGCCTCAGGATAACCAGTCAAGGCTTCTCAAGAAGAGGGAGTCGAGGCCTGGGCTTTTGCTGGGAAAGGAGAGTCGTCCGGTCACCTCGATGAGATTACTCGTCTGGGGAAGGAGACGATCGAGGAGGAGATAGTGCCTCCTGCAAGGCTAGAATATCTCTTTCCTCACCGGGTCTCCGACATCAGAGAAGAAGAATGAGGGAAGATGAGGAAGTATCTCATCGGCCTCTCAGGGGTCAGCTCTCGATATAGACAGGAGCCCGACCCAGAGTATTGCTTTGAGCCTAATCACCACCTTGACGTCAGGGGAACCATCCCAGGCTCTTGCCAGACTCAGCAGAAGGCGATTGAGCAGTTCTGGCTTCCTCATGATGAGGAGTATTTGCAAGGAGTCCTCGATGTCGGTCTCCACCATAGCCTTCGCAACTACTTTGTTCGAGGTGCATTGGTGAAGACGGAGTTATACTGTCGGGTGGAGCAGGCATGGACCGCATATCTAAAGCTCCTTGGAGAGGTTACTTCTCTGAGGGCTGAGAGAGGGGCCGACTTGGAATAGGCAGTGGAGATGCCAGCCCTAAGTGCTCCCGAGGTCGACGAGCTCAGGAGGGAGCTAGAGGAGAGCAAGGGGAAGGAAGGCTAGGACATTGGGCGAGGCTCTCCAGGAGTGGGACCATACTATGGTGCTGGTCAAGATGGAGAAGGAGGTAGCGGTGCATGCGAAACATCAATTGGATGAGAAGCATGCAGTGTTGTCCAAACTCTAGGGGGATGTTTGTGGAAAAATTCGAAGTAAAAGAAACGAAAGAAAATTTTGATTTAAATTCTCTCAAGATCAATTACAATTGGATTCTAATTACAAAAGAGAGGAGAATGAATTTGATTCTCCCCTTTGTTTAAAACTGGGTTCTTCAAGGTAGCGATAGAGTGCCTCCTTCGAATGCTTGCATCGAATTCGCTCTCCGTTGATGATCGGACCGTCTTATCTCACGGGAACAGTTAACTTATATGGTAAGTTTGATTAAGAACTCTTTTAAGAGTTTAAGAACTCAGAATGAGTTAAGAACTCTTAAAAGAGTTGTTGAAACCGAATAATCGGTTAAAGAGCCAAATAAATTCCTTTGTTGTTGAAGAATCCTTCGAGATTTGATTCTTTAACTGCCGAGCAGTTCCTTGGTCTTCAGTAATCTCTCCTCTCCGCCCAAGAATCCAACCTTATGCAGTTTTCTTGATCTCCAAATCTCCCACCTCCCTTACTCAATTGAGTAATATGGTTATTTATAGGGGGATAAGGGGTGTAACCAACCCCTAAATCCGCTCCTAAGTGGGCGAAAATCCTTCAAAGCATGGGATAAACGGTTTTGAGGCCGTTCAGCTTGAGTTTAAACAAGTCAAACGCCTAAATTGGCGTTCTGGACCTTAACTCTACGTCTTAGACTTGAGACGCAGAGTTGGGTGCTTGCTGGGAATTGAAAACGCACAGGCCGCTTGCGTTCTGGGTCTTAACTCTGCGCCTCAGACTTGGGACGCAGAGTTAGGTGTCTGCTGAATATTGAAACACACAGGCCGCTTGCGTTCTGGATCTTAACTCTGCGCCTCAGACTTACGACGCGGGGTTGGGTGTCTGCTGAAGAACGCACAGGCTGCGTGCATTTTGAGTTGAGAAGCGCAGAGGTGGACTCTGCGTTTGGGAGAGGTTATTGACTTGTAACCTCGTCTATTACAGCATCACGAAGACTAATGCTCATTGATCTTTGCTTTAGCTGTTATGGGGTGTGAAAGTCGTCAGATTGTAACTCTCACAGTTGGTTGTGAATGCTACTGAATAGAGTTTTCATCAGTTGTCAGAAGTATCATTGAATTGTAACTCTTCTCGATCTATGTGAAAAGTCCTCCGTTTGCAGCTTTTATTTGTTGACATGAAAGTCATCTGATTATAACTTTTGTTGTTGAAGCTTGATAGGGATCAACTATCTATTATGATTTTTAGACAGCCTACAGAACCCCCTCCAAAGTTTTCGAAAGTTCACGGTTGACTGGGACGAATTTTCGGAATACTTTGGACCCTAAAATTTAGTTGATTGGTTGTTCACTTCATCTGATTTGCAGACATCGCGAACCTGATTGTTGGAATGTCAAAATTCTGTTTCCTTGAACAAAACAAGATAGCTCTTGAGTCTTGATGACAATGAACTTAGTCAAACAAGCTAAAGCCCAAGTCGTTGCTGATGACTCAAACGAGAGTGAAGATGACGACGATCTTGTCTGGGTCTTTGAGATACTCCACTTGATCTGCGACAGAGTGTGTTCTTCGGATTTTGTTTGGATCCTTCAGATACTCCACTCGATCTACAATGAGATGT